AATGCGTGAGGTGAATTCACGATGGCAGTGAGGGCAGATAAGGTTCAAGCCTCCAACACTAGTGGATGTAGTGGGGATGGTGGTGGGAGGCGATGATGCATCAGAGCGGTGGAGGGAGTTGCGGGTGGAGTTGTGCCGGTGAATGAGGGCAGAAAAGCATCTGTGGTGAGCGTTGTCGCCGTCAAAGTGCTGGGCAGATAAGCGTCTGTTCAAGCGCTTTATGCCGTAGAAATGGATGCCATCGAAGGGGGGGGATGCAATGCGTCTGGAGGTGGCCGACCAAGCCAATGCGTGCACAGAAGGTCAGTTGACAGTGCGGACACGTTGGAAGCGCTTGGGCGGTGACAGTGTGCGTCCGTTGATCGTAAGGATTACGAGTCGTCCGTTTTGCCGAGTCGTGGGCAATTCGACTAGCTTCGAAGATTGCTGTGCAAGTTTTTACCGTTCTTTACCACTTATATCTATCCTGTGCCAGTTCCTCCCAGGTCGCTGTGTTGATTTGGAGACGCTTCAGAGAGTTCTTCAGAGTGTCCTTGTATCGCCTCTTTTGTCCTCCTTTGCGACGAGCACCTACAGTGACATCTCAGTAAAACAGTCACTTGGGTAGCCGTTGATCATCTATCCGTACCACGTGACCGCTCCAGCGCAATTGTATCTGCCTGAGAATGGCCTGGACGCCGAGAACTCTCATCCTCTCAAGGATTTCCGCCTCCGGTATCCTTTCCTGCCATCGTATCTTCAGGATGCAGCTAAGACAGCTGAGATTGAAATGATTCAGCCCCCGAACTTGGTTGGCGTAGACGGTCCAAGTCTCTGTTTCGTGCAGGAGTGTCGTGAGCACAACGGCTTTGTGCATTCTCAGTTTCATTGATAGCTGGAGACCATGACGATTCCATACAGGGTTTTGGAGCCGGCCGAAGGCTTGGCTGGCTTTGGATATCCGTCGAGCAATCTCGTCGTTGATATGAGTGTTTCGGGATAGCGTGCTGCCGAGAAAGGCAGAGTTGTCCACATTCTTGAGCTCGGCGCCGTTAACGTTGATGCGTGGAGCATTACAGTCAGCAACCGGCGGCGGTTAGTGCATGACCACTGTTTTCTCCGTGACGGAGGAGAACGCCTCCGTGGAGTACCGGTGGCCTTAATTACGGGACAATGTTCAATTCACCCCCCAACGCGTCCTTGACCATGCACACCGACAACACCAGAATTAGTTCGAAGAAAACGATGACGACATCAGCAGTCTGCTCACCGAGAAGAACCGCCTGAACAAAGCCTATGTTGGCCACCCTACCGACGCCAAAAGAGAGCAGACTTCTACCACCGTCGCCGTCTTGTGCAACAGCGGCTGAGGGAAACGCAGGATGATTAGATGGCTCGCAATGGCGAGGAAATCAAAGGTTACGCAGACCGCAATGAATGGATGAACTACTTCGGTGCACTCAAGGCCGTCTACGGCCTCATTG